TATATAATATCCCATAATATACCACAGAAGCTACATTACTGCTGAATAATAGTCCAATATATCTGTCTACTAAAAAGAGCCCAAAAATCAACTGTTATTAGGCAGATTCATTGGGACTTCATACACTCTAAATTTACTTAATAATCACGGATGTATGATCTTGGAAACTAACTTTAAAAAAAAGAAGGAATCTTCAAAAACTGTGTAGAATAAATACCTTGTAAAATAAATGTGTTTTAGTCTCCATTTTTCTGTTTGGAGGTAAATTCCGTCCTTCAGGACTCAAAGGCCTTAATGAATGAATACAAGTGAACAACAGTAGTAAACATTTCCTGTCAAAATATAAAAAGAAAGACAGAAAGAGAAATCATATGCCTGCTTAAGAGACTAAGCAATCACATTTACCCACCTGACGTTGCCTCTTCAATGAAATTCTAATAAATGGCACCAAGACAGGTGAGCAAAAGCTAGAAAAAGCAGTTAGTAGATGGTAAGCCAATGATCACCCAGCTCCTTAAGTTTATTCTTTTAGTAACAGAGAAGTAAAGAAATGCATCTCAAATGGCATGAAAAGAAGAGTAATCCAATTACGTTTATCCAAACAAATTCTAAGAAGTGTTAAAACAACAGTCACCATGTCAGTGAATGTTTAGTATGTGCTAGACATTTATAAGCACTTTGACATGAATTATTTCATATACTCCTCATAATCATCCTTTAAGAATTGTCATTATCTCTATTTGGCAGATGAGAAAAAAAGAAAGACATAATCATACAGAGAATTAGAACTTGAATTCAGGCACTCTAACTCCAAAGCCCTTGGTCTTCAGTACCACACCATATTTGCCTCTCAAAATAATATTACTGCATGAGGCTGGAGATAGGGTTCAGGGGTTAAGACTTAGCACATACTGGTCTTACAAAGGACCCAAACTCAGCTCCCAGCACCCACTTCAGGTGGCACACAACTTCCTCTTAACTCCAGCTTCTGGAGCTCTGATGCCCTTTTCTGGCCTTCATAGGCACTGCATTCATGTACACATACCCACACACAGGCACATATAATTCAAAATAATAAAATAAAATAAAACCTAAAAATTAAAATAAAATCAAAAATGATACTACTACAAAGTATGTTTTAACCTGGCTACACAAAAGATCTTCACAATACACAGAAACAACATTTTTCAAAATTCTCAAAAATTTTGCAATATTTTTACTGCTATCCAAGTCACATTTGATGAGCCATTTATTACATTGTTAGTTATGATATCTTATATCACAATGCTAATTGTCACAATCTGGGAGTTTTTCATATTGTGAAGTATTAATATTCTAATGTAGATACAGTACTTTAGAGCTGTGTTTATTACAGTAATTGCTTTAGAGTGTTGAATGTCTACCATCCTTGAAATACAAAATACATTAAAAATCAAATAAAACCACATCAACAGTACCTATTCTCAAAAAGGCATTAGAAATGTATACAGGTCTTCCCAGCAACCCACTCCAAGCAACCTCTTCTAGGTCTTCTTTAACCAGTTCAATTACCTCTAAACTACTAGGCATATCACTGAGTGCTTTCATTGGTCTTTATTGTCTTCGTGATTCAACTTCTATTAAGTATTTGTATTTTTACTTCATTTTCACATGGATAGCTTTTATATGAACTGCATCACACATTTCTAAGAACTGGGGCTGGTAACATCATTCCTGGAACCATTTCTCATTGTATCAAGCACAAGTGAATATGCATATAATGAAGAGGTAGGAAAGGAGGGAGAGAAATTCAACATAGATCTACTACATGCTATCCACTAGGCTATCAACATAGATCTACTACATGCTATCTACTAGGTTATCAGCATAGATCTACTACATGTTATCTACTAGGCTGTCAACATAGATCTACTACATGCTATCTACTAGGCTGTCGTCTAGGCTCTGGGGATGGAGCAGTGAGCAAAACTGAAGGAGCTTACATTCTAGTCTGAGAGAGATTTTAAAATCTGGATAATGAAAATGTGGTTCATTTATGTGATGGAGTATTATTCAGCAGTAAAGAAAGATGAAATTTGCAGGTAAATGGATGGAACTAGAAACTGTTATGCTAAGTGAAGTAACATAGACTCAGAAAAACAATCAACATTTGTTCTCCTTCATATGTGGATCCTAGAACCAGACTCTGATAAATAAATACGCAACCAGACATAACTACAGGAACCAGGATAATGGAAAGGAAACAGGGAGGTAAAGGAAAAGAAAGAACCTGAAAGAGAAGAACAGTAGGAAACAGGCCTTAATAAGGGAGCTATGGATAAAAACTGGGTTAGTTTAAGGGAGCGGGGAAGGAAAGGTATACAAGGAACCTAGGGGATACAGGGAAAGAAGGAGCTCAAGAGAGGTAGGACCATAGAAGGGTATTAGGAAGAAAGGGGGGAAATGGGGGCACCTTAAGTGGGAAAACCATGATGGA